GCATGCTTGCGTTTGGTTGACCTAGACCCAGTGCCTGATTTCTCACCATCACGACCCCTATCCGGTGGCTCCTCATGATGATGTTGGTGATGCTGATGGCGATGATGACGGTGGTGTGGATGCCTGTGATGTCGATGATGCCGGTGCCGATGGTGTCGTTGATGAGGACGATGATCCCGATTGGATTCCGAGTTACGGTCCCCCCGGTCGGGATGACGACGATGCGCACGTTTTGATTTGTCCGAACGGTGTGTCTCACTGTCCATCCTAGCATCTTGTGAGGACCGTTCGTTCCCGACGAGATCAGAATCCCTGTCAATTTGTTTTGTTCCTTCATCCTGATCTGTGGTGGTTTGTTGAGTTTGTTGTTCTTGTTCCTGTTGTTGTTGCTGCTCTTTTTGCAACGCCAAACGATGACAAACATCAAATGCCTGACCGACTGTTCGTACGATTCGCATCGCTTGAAGCTGCATTGTCATTGATCGTTTAGCGTAGGTTGTATTTTGTGATGGTGGCCATGATGATAGTAGTGTAGGGGGTAAAAAGGAATCAAGGGTTTAACATAACGTGTTTGATAGAATGACTGAAATCATCATTGGGGCCGGAATTGGTGCCACATAAATCACTTGGTAACACAGCGTACGAATATCATCTATTTTTTCAAACTTTTTTGAAAGTTCTGATATGTGGCAGCCGTTTACCGATAGAGTTGAATGAACATCAACTCATACAGTGATATTCATTACTGACTTTGGAGAAAATAAGCGATCACATTTCTGCTGGAATATTATAATCATTTTCAAATACGACACTTCCCAAGGTAGTATTCACCATTGGATATAAGATCCCTTCAGCACTGAAACAGTCCCTTCTGATAGATCTCATTGACTTGTCAACTTTTACTTGATAATCAATAAATAATTGTCTAAACAGAACGCACGGTTTACTCTCCCGAAGAATTAAAATTCCCCAATTATTTGAAAAGAAATATTGAGGATAACGAGAACTAAGCAACCGTGTTATTTGTCATTTCTACTGTTGATAGTTATACTAGGTTGGAGGCTGTTAGGTTTATTAGCAAAAGATTACCGGTTTGATACAGCCCACAAATGAGTCGCGAATTTTTTATTACTAATGAGTAGAAGAAAATAAATCATGAAAATGCAGTTTGTAAAAGGAGGTCGCTTATTAGTATCGCATGTGGATTATCCCACTCGATTATTCACAGGCACCAGGTACTGTTGATGGTCTTGAAGATGACTTTCATTTCTTCCGGGGATCTAGAAGACTAAGAAATCGTGAACTTGCTATGATGAAAAGTTTATCCACACTTAGCTATGAAACCCCCTCCCGTCCAACACTGATTCTGGGCTCGGTTGGGGTAGAAACATAACAATAGGGGATGCAAGCCATGAAGAGTTCACGGATCAAATGCTCTGAATGGAATTCATTGGACTACCTCCCAGATCGCTTGTGTGGGGTTTTAGGTTTTACCTAGTGATGACAGGATAGATATTTCTCCTGACAAAAAAGGTATCGTTGACTTTCTAAGAGTATTTTTCATGGAAAATTATATAGCTTATACAATAACCTGATAGGTTATTAATATTAACAAAAGCCAGTCGTGTGGGTTAGTTAGAGGAGACACGGCTCGATAAATCGAAAACCAGGATGCAAGAAATTCACCAACGTCCAATACGATCCACTTAAAAGGATGTATAATTGGCGGCTAGTGACTTCTGTTGATTAGCATCAAAGTGTATTTCATTCATTTATTGTTTTAGGTTGATGTGGAACAAATTTCAGTTGTTTTAACATTGACCTCACCAACAAAGGTACTATTACTTGAAGCACTGATGCAAGATTCAAATTGACGCCAGCCTTCGTAAATCACTGAATCTAAAGAAAAAGAAAATTTGGAATCTACTGTTATATCGACAGGAGAAGTCTAAGGTGGTCTGACGCACCTTGGGTCGAGGGTTGAACGACGTTCCCTTGAACTGGGAAAATTTTACGCGCATCTAGCAAAACCCCTTCAATTGTATACAGTGATTTACACCTCATTCCCATCAATTTGAACTGAAACGCGTGTTCAGCCGATGAGATTAGCTTAAAGCCAAAGACGTTTTTTGATTGGTTTTCTAATATCTATGTTTCATATACTGTAGAAAATTTATATTAGACTTAGAGCGTTCGCAACGAATTAGCTTTTAGTTATTGTTTTTCTATCGAAGTGTTCCTCAGAAATGCCTATGAATCATGGATTTTCGCAATCGAGCAAGGTTCTCTGGATGAGTAAGACGGTATTTCGATGTTTGCGGTTGAAGCTGTTCGGAACATTTGTTGTGGAGTCAGGTAATTGGCTAGGTATCTGATCTGTGGGTCGTGATTTCATAACGTTTTGAGAATTTTTTCAATAAAAGTGTTTAGTCACGATCAATTCAGAGCTGACATGTTTCCGTTGTAGCACCAAGAATAGGTGCACAAGTATGAAAATAAAAAAGAAACTACTTACAAATGGACAACAAAATACTTGCTCACCTTTTTATACGCTTTGAAGACATTACAACGGAAGACACTTGTTCGACTATCTCGAGCGATATAACTGAATATTTTCAAATCCTGAGAATCATGGGACACGTAGAAAATTCTGAAACGGGACAAAAAAGACCACGAGGTATGTGATTTTTCAACTTTTGATGCTCGAAGCAGTAGCTCACATCAGATAGTTCTGCAAGTCAAGTGTTTAAAATCCTTTTGTAACCAGCAGCCTGAATTCCACCAATAACATCATCCTCAGGACATGATCATAGCCATCACCACTTGCTCCCCCCCACGCCTCTGAAGAATCATTCATAATCAGCACTGGACACCTGCACGAATACACTTGTGCCGGTTCGAAGCTAAAAGAAAACTTGCAGTTTGACATTAGCAGCTCGGCCTTGGTGTGGTGTGCCAAGGAGTCCTTATCTGCCCAGCTGAAGAACAGACAACGTTGAATGCTGGAACCGAGCAATATATCATTTAGCGTTGATGTATCGTGCAGCGCTGGATCCATTCTGATCTGGGTGGTGGTGGCCCTGTGGTAACGTCAGCAAATTATAACCCCGGGGATGTGTTCGAATCCCACCACCACCGCCTAACTTTCCCCAATGCGTGTTGAATGAAGAGCCTTTGGTTGACCACTTCACCCTTTTTGGAAATTATATCTTTGCATATTCAATAAAAGGAACTAAAATGAAATAAATAAATAAAAAGTTTGGTGATAAAGTGAAGTTCTCAAAACCGGGCCTATTGTGTTTTTTAAGAGATCAAAGGCTCAGTTGACATATACATTAGACCGTTTCTGTCATAAATAAACAATTACACAGTACTTCGAAGCGTTTTAATTGACGCGCGAGAAAAAGTTGATAATGTGTGATGAATAGCGTTCTATTGGTCAACAATATTGGATGCAAAGAAGGAGGAGGAGAAGGAAACAATGATTATATATTCGTTGAAAATCCAAGAAAGTCTGACCCCAGTTCCTGCCTCTTTTTGATACATTCATAGTCCCTCATTTGAATGCCGTTTGATTGAGCCTGTTCATAGATTAGTTGATCCGAATTATGTTGTAGCGAAAAAAAGGGTTGTCCAGTGCATGCAAACTGCGTCGTGAGGAGATCGCCTCTAACGGGGCCTCTAACAGCCTTTAACGGACGCACAATAGTGTTAAAATGTTTGAATTGTCAATTCTATGGAGTGTTTGCTGGATGATATGTTCACCAGCTGTCCTGTAAGAACGACACAAGCTACATTTCATGCATCCTAGAAATGACACGCTTTCATTTCAGCGTCTAAGGTAACTGGATGATTGGCTCCCATACTGTAACGATCAACCATACTCCGCTGCACAAAGCAAAAGTTGGAGATACTCATTTGCAGTGTGATAGGAGTCGACATTGTGGTAAGCGCAGTTGGGAAACGAATCAATGCGAAGTAGTTTGGTTAAATTTCAGTGGAACTAGCGACTCCAGACTTCAGTGATCAGTTGCGTGCTAAAAGGGGCAATATTTTTTACATCTATGCTATAGTTTCGTTTTGCGAGAAAATCATACGAGTTTCAATGCATGTGCTGCACCAGTCATGCGTATACTGTTGTAATTGTACACCCTGAGTGGGTCTCAGTGCGTATGGCGAATGCGTGTGTGAGCAGGGAGAGGCAAGCTGATTTATGACTAACAGGGTGAAATAGAATAAGCTCTCTGGTGGATTTATTCGCATCATTTGCACAAACCTTTCGGCTCAAAAGTGGAAGCAGTTGATATTGGAATGAATGAATGAAATTTATTGGTGTATCAGTGCCAATGCTACTACTAGCGATAATAATAATGTTATGACTTCTGAACTGTCGAGTATTGTTGGCATTACAAATCTGAAACAATGGTCAGGAACACTAATATGACTTAATTACGCTCACGCCAACCCACCACTAACACCGTAACCGAGAAAAATAGCATTAACTTCCCCAAATTTTCGCAATTAGGTGCGTTGAATGAATGCATCCATTTCTATCAATTTCACAGTTCAAATTTGACGAGTCTATCATGCTTGGTTTCAGAAAAAATCGCACTTATTTTCTCTCCCAACATTATTTTCAGATCCAACTGTTTTGTGGATTGTCAGAGGGAAAATCACCATAGATTTTAAACTTTCAATTTGGAATGACCAAGAAAGCCTGTCGGGCTTTCGCTGACACACGGTCCTGGTGCTTTATCACAAAGCATAGTACAAAGTTCGCAAACTTTCGCATAAGCCTTGAAGTATATTTTTGACCAACAATATGGAAAACGTTCCGATGGAACAGTTACTATGGATGATGACGACCTTGTGAATGATTAAATGAAAGCTGATCTTCATATAACGGAATGAATGATTAATTGGATGGTGAAATTGTCTATTCAAGTAGTTCAAACGTATTACAGGCACACGACTGGGTAAGGATGCTTCTCTTATGGGTTCAAAGTGAATTGAAGGTGATCCATCTTGCACAACGTATCAGTATTTGCGGTTGGGACGTCAAAGCAATGAAACGGTGTAATTTGTGAAACCAATGGTAACTGGCGATGGAACCTGGATTGTTCGCCATCAAATAAGCATAGTCGAAACGCGATCCACACCGCATGGTGTCAGTATTGTAAGCTTTTTGCAGCCTGTCTGCAATATGCGGAACGAGAGATTCAGTGATCTACCTGCAATAGTTGATGAAGTTGAACAGAGCGATTGAAGAAAAGCGAGCACAATTTAAACATTTTAACGGAATAACGCTCCGACAGAACAGTACCAGAACAAACAACATACGGATTATTATTAATAATGTAGTTACCACATAGTTTGATCTTTACAAAACATTTTGTGATTGAAAACTTTTATTAATAGTAATGGTCTGAAATCCTACTTGGTTGAGGTTGTTCCCTGTACCGACGGGGAGTTGTATATGGGTAAAACTAGGAAGTCATCAGACAGTTGGTAAGTAGGATGAAGAATAGGTCAATTAATTTTAGATTTTCATTACATCGAATGGTGATGCCATTAGCCTAATCTTATGGGATCTTAATTGCGTTGCGGTAACCTTGATATGCAAATACTAATTCCCTAAACTTAGTGCTTTCTACTACCATTACCATCAAATTTCGCAGTGGTGCATCAGAAAAAAGTGGGAGCACGAAGAACGTTCTCTTCGATATAACGCCTTAGGCATTCACACATATTTCGATTAGTCAATAGAATAATTAAGACACCCAAGTTGATGTTTAATGAGTGTGTGTAAGATGTTCAGTTGACAATATGATAAACGGATAGAGATAAGCAGGGTAAAAATAAGTGAACTGGGCACGACATAAGGGGTATTAGTGATGGATGAATAACAAGGAAGTGAATATGTACGAGAAAAGACGGTAAATTATTAGAAGGAAGAGAGAGAAAAGAAAGTGTAACACAGAAATATGGACAGTCATTCTTATGGCTATGGTATATATAGCTCTTTAACCAGATTACGTTGCATACACAACCGCAGTTTCGTAATCTTATCCTTTGTGGTTTCCGCAGTTGTCAGGATGTTCTTAGGTAATCGTTTGGGTGTGAATCTTAGATGCTGTGAGGAAACTTGTAAACAATGTTTCTGGGTGAATCTTTTGTCCACTCCCCAACAAATGTTGCAGAATTGAGCTGTTTAAGCTTCTCACTGTTCCTTTTCGAAGGGTGATCGACCAAAATTTAGATATTCTCTTGGACAAACGTCTCGTTTTGACCAATATAGCGAGAACTACAAAGGCACGCAAAATGATGTAGAACAAAAGATTGGGACAGCTGAGGTAATTCATTCTTAAGCTGTTGAACACTGAATGGCTTGGTCCTCGCTGAGAATCTTAAATGCGCCGCGGTAATCAAAATCAGTTGAAGGCTACAAAGAAAGGGGTGTTTTTGGAAGTTCCTTTCAACAGAGATAAGGCATTATAAATCCGGGCACATCAGTTATCCAAAGCCGTGGGCAACTGTTTTTCCGCATCACCTACACGCTTTCATTCAGCACTAACTTATACCTTGTCTTAATCTCTTGAACTATTGAACAGACTATATTTGTAAATGCCTGAAGCGATATATCGCAAAGTAATTTTTTGAGTTTTCACTTTGTTATTACGATAATAATAGTGAAATATCTGGCACACGAAACGAATAGCAGTGGTATGTTGAAGCTTTCAACTATTTTTCGATCAGTTCAATAGTGACTTGTGTAGGACGGGAACCCGATGAGCTTCAAGGCCAAATAGTGTGGCTCGTTTTTTTTAACTTGCATCTATTATGTGCACGATATAAAATAAACCTTATATGTACACTAATTAGTGGGAGTGAATCCGATCGGCATTCCATTCGGGGACGAATCGTTTTTGTTTTTCATTTTGAAAATCCCGGCTATCAATGGCGTCAAGTAATGCGGACGTGAATTCCGGTGGCACACAGCGCACACACGCACACGGAGCAAAACGGAGTTGAAGATGCACACAGACGCATTTACCAACTGTTTGCTTATTCCATGTTATCAGAAATAGTTTTGGCGCGTGCGTGCCTGCTTACCCATTCTATCGAACCTAACCGAAAAAAGTCTTCGAGCAGAAATAATAAATAGACTAGCCACATTTGTTAAACACGTAAAAAGCGAGAGACAGAGAGAGAGAGAGAGCGTGTGTGTGTGCATTTATGAGAGAAATGAATCAAAATAATGGAAAAAACGAATTAAATGGTTCATTTCTTTTCTGTGTTTGAATATTGGTCTTATCTTGGCTTTAGGTGTTCGTTTTGATCAACAGACTGATTTCTAATCTTGATGGTATTTATTAAGTTAGATGTGTTTATGTGCAAACCTAAAATTATCTATCAGTGTTAGTTCCTCTGGTTACCAGTCATCTCACAAAGCATAGTTTCGCTTTCGTGAGAACTCATCGGTGTGCATATTGATATCTCCCCCGGGATATGTACCGTGCTGTGCTTTTGGATCAAAAGTATAATGGACACTGGTTCCGTTTGTCAAACCTATGCAAAAAGGTGTGAACTCATCGCAACTCTCCTTCTTAGAACTTTGCTCTACAGATTTTCACATACCGAAAAAATGTGTCAACTTGCGGATCTCTCTTTATAGAATTTCCCCCGAACCCGGAAAACATTTATTTATATGTTCTTCAATGTTATAAAACTATGGTCATCACATGTACTGGGGATAGGAGACATACTGATGTTAGATCAAGCCTAACACGCGCATGAACGGAGGGTTCAGATGAACTGACAGGTCGGCTCGCAGACTGATTCGCTTAACCACTTGGTGATTGAGTTCGCTTCCACAGATGTATCAATTTCAGATGATATCGGAATATCTGTTGTGATGTGGTGACCCATATCATTGTACAAACTTAGTAGAAGACGTCGAACTAATAGATACCCCGTTGTCAGCAGTCAAAGTTTGGTAACAGAAACGAATAAAAAAAAATTGCAGCAAGAATTTGAACATTCATGCGAATTGTTTTGCCAAAAATGAACATATGCATAGGTGCACAGGAGCGTTTAAAACGAGCCCATGTGGTCTGAATTCAGAAACACACACCGACGCACACACGCACCGTAAGTTCCAAACGGTAACCATATCTATTCGGTTCAAGGGCTTCATTGCTGGACATTTTTAATAGCCATTAGTTGTTGCAGTTTTTGTGCAAGATGCCGTGACTTTGAACCATCACATTTACACACTGTACTACAAGACGCCATAGATTCGTACTGGGACTTGATCGTAAAAGCCAGTTGTATATTGATCACAGAACAATTACGGACACCATCATGGGGACTTCTCTGTTTTCCTCAACGAGGCTACTGGCACGCAATCGCTCTGCTCAATAGTGTGTCAATGTATATAGGCCTCACACTTCATTGTGTAAGAGATAGTTCAGAACGGTGTAATAGCAAAGCGCACCAGAGCCCTGTTTTGCCAACTCTGCTCAACGACATGCGAGAACGTTCTGTAAGATGTTGTGCGTGAGGAATGTGTCCGAATGTCAAGCTCTTATTTTCAATCAAGTTTGCAAAACGTATTGTTTTTTTTTCAGTGCCTTTCACTTTGAGATGGAAAACTGAGTGTTTACTTCACGTGTTAGCCACACTGGTAACTTAGAATTGGGTGAGTGTGAAGGTAAAGAACGCTAAGGATGTGTGAACGAATGTGAATGGTGATGACTGTCTACCAGGTTATCGAATCAGCTCATTCCACTCGACGAGCACAAACCGCTACCTGTTACGTTTGGTGGTTTGTGTATGAATCTCGGTTTCACTCGCTCAGCGCTGATTTGCTTTCTCTCTAGTGTATCACCTTTATATGATTTGTTTTCAAACATCTATCATGTTTTGCGTCCTTACAGGGAATAGATATTCTCACGAAATTGAAACTGAAACAATTTAATTCTTACTTTGGTGGGATGCAACGGGAGAGTCAAACATTTGCTTACCCATATGCTCCGCCCCGTGCAATGCGGTTCTGATGCTCTGATAGTCAATGAAGCCCGTCACGATGACCGATTTCAGATTCAGAGTCGCTTTACCTTGTGGGGTTTCATGCTTTTGATCTATTTTTATCACAGGATGAATAACAGAAAATAATCAGTGTACCCCACATTTCTTTTCATAACAGGTTATCACTTTTCCGTCCATTTTTAACAGACCACTGCACACCCTATTTTAAACACGCAGTCAGAGTGGTATGGCGGTGGGGTCGTTGCGATACCGTCTCCAGGGTGCTCAAAGCCATAGGGCTCCGATGGGAGATCAGTATCTGTAGGGCAACGGGACAGCCAACGAAATAACCACGTCTCAATAAATAAAGCCGACATTTCTTTATGGTTGAGACAACACAGTGGCTGAGAAATCACCCGTAAACTAATCCCACAACCGGCATACGGAAGGATTTAATCCTGAGCTCAAACTGTTAATAGTTGATCGAGTAGCTCATGGAAAAAGACTACGGCTTTGATCCGAGGGTGCACATTTCTAGTCCCAGTTTCTGTAGTAATGAATCCAAATACGAAGCAGAAGTGGTATTCAGAGAATGAATCAGAGTTCCTATTTGGGACTTTAAGTTGTGCTTAGTTGTGCTGGTCCACATATATGCATATGATATAAAGGAACTGATCAAACTCATGCAACATGACTTCCCATTTTGGGAATACGTTTAAGTTTCCATTATCACACGTGTATATCACCACTCGCATGACCCGATAGTACTCTAGTTGTCAAAATTACTGTTTTCACCACCACAGACGAAAACTCTTTTCTTCATATCATAACAAAAACAATCACTTTTCAACGTAATGTGTGTTGACCAGCAACGAGCTCTGAGCCGCTGTTTTGTCCCCGTTCTGAGTCATCTGTTTCCGTTCTGATTTGGACTTGAACCCGGAATCATCGCATCCCTAAATTACACGGCAGATGACTAATATTTTCTACTAAGAGCTGCAGGAGGACATTTGTCAATTGATCATGGAATTCATAGATTCCGGGGCCATGTTTTTGGCAATCTTCATTGTGGATCTCACTCCGTGGGAGTTCATTGATTTATTCTCCATGTCATAACACGTTTTCAAATTCAATGGAGTTTTGTGTGATTGTCACCAGAAAGCTCTGGACAGCTGCTTCGTGCTTGTCAAACGCGAACTTTGGAGTCTGTGAACTTATGTGGACAAAACTGCACATGTCATTCTCGGTCTACCAAGAAAGTGACTTTAGCCTGGGGAAACAGTCATCAAAAACAAGCTTGCTCCCTACCACGCTCCTCGATGTCAACCGGAAAGTATTCACACGAAGTTGAACAACTTTTTATTGTTTCGAATGCTTATTGAATGGGTAAAATGTTAGAATATTTAACATTTATTGGAAGTTAAATCGGTACGCGTATTCGGCGTGCTGCACCGATGATCTAGAAGATCATTCGGGATTCAAACACGGGATCGAGGGATTGTCAATCCAACTTAATCCATAATCACTCAGACTATCTGGCCTGTTTGTTTGCAACTATCTGTGCATTAAACTTTTCCGATGTGGTGTCATTAGATGTGCCGTAATTCACCAGGCGTGGATCGATTCCCTGTAAAAAATAACCGAGAAAGCGATCTGCACCCACCGAGGATAGACCTGTGAAGCGATAAGGTTGATGTAATCTAGGGATCTCGTGTCCACCAGAGCTTATTGGTAATCTAATATACACGCCTTGTATCAAGCGCCACTCCGTGAAAAGCAAACAATGAGCATTGAATTTACGTAGCCAACTGCTTGAATTTGTTGGAGAAAAACAGCGCTATGGATTTTGGCTGTAAAATGCAGTTAATCCGTTGCTTCGTTGAAAGACAAAGAACAAACGAGAACGATGGGAGTGGAATTTTACGAGAGTGCCGAAATTTCATCTCCTTGCTTGAAAACACATACGGATAATTATCAGACCCTTCGGCTCCGGATCAGAGTGTGTATGAGCACGGGATACTGAAGGAAACGGTATCTGAATGGCTTTAACCAAAAATGTAAATGTGTGACGCTCTGATAACAACTAACCGGCGTTTCACTGATGTCAAGGTTGCACGAACAATGACTTTTGGGCATGAAAGCTGAAAGACGTTTCCCAAAATTAGCCTAACATTTTTTTTCTGTCATCCAATCAGTTTTAGTCGTGTTATCACGCTACTCGGAAACACATTGATTATGGTTGGTGCTTGATCTGGAGAGAGGGGTGCATAAGAAGGATAAATTTGATGGATAACGTAAATCTATGCCACTTACCGACAGATAGGGTGATACAGCATCAGATTGGACTGGTGCATACAGCCCAGAATGGATGAATCACGTAGTCCGAGGCCAAGCACACCGCTTCCAGAGGCGGATAAGGCTTCATTCTCATTGGTCCCTGAGTCCGCGACTGATCCGATTTCCGTGGCCAAGATATCACTGTACACTCGACTGCCGGCAAATTGGCACGAAGACTGAGACGACCGGGAGCCAGGCCAACGCATAAGGAGCTGCACTCGAGTGTGGTCCGAT